ATGTTTTAAATATGCAATTTTATGTTAAGTAGCATATTTTATTATTATTATTGTTATCATTTTTTACACATGTTAATACTGAGATATATATGAGAAGGAAAATATTTTGTACTTTAATTATAATCACATACATCCTGTGATAATATATATTTTTTTAGAATATAGAATTGTTCTCTAAGACTTATATTAAAAACAAGAACTCTTATTAAATATATGGTCCATTGCAACATATAATTTATGACAAACAGTATATACAATTCCAAGTTCTTTCTTTGTTTATGAACCATGTTAATTTTATACTTCCATTAGGAATTTACCTTGAAATACTTTTCTTAATCTTTACTATCTTTTTACATTTTAACGTTTTCATTGCGCATCACACAAATATGTAGGAATTAATTATAATGTATTTCATACTCTGACACACATGGGTGTATACTAACCCAACCTTTATATAGACTATATGTTTCTTAATAATATGTCTTATTAGACCTAGACAAGCTTTAAAGGAAACCATACTACTACTTTTTTAGAAATCTAGATAAAATATAAAGTTAATCCTTTCGGCATTGCAAAAAGTAAAATGGAAGATAGGTATTGCGCATATGTTCAATATAGCAAGTTGTATGTGACTGCGATTAAAAGAATATATAATGTTATTCATGAAAACTCTTTTCAAGGAAAAAGAAAACACCTGTAAGTAAATGGTCATCTTTCTAAATTTATTCTTCGAAGTCGCGAAATATATCCACTTTTTTTGCCAAAATCTCAGTTTATTTTAATGGTACATACCTTCAGAAATGACTTAGTGTAAGAACATACCCGAGGTTCATGCATAGAACCATGTTTCTGAACAATAACTTCCAATTTTTTCCATGACAGAAAAAAGAATTTATGAATTTATATATACCCCCATTTTTTTCTTCTAAATTAATATTTTTAGTAATGTATCGTAACTAATTGCGTATAATTTTATATTTTAGATAAACTTAATCTTCAGGTGAAGCCGTTTACACTTTGTGCAATTAAGAGCACAAAGTTCACCATTTCTTAGACAATTTATTTTATACTTGTATTATGAAATTTATTAATAATGGCGATGATCACGAATGTAATTAAAAATCAATTATGAAAAGAACTCTTTTTAAAAATATACATTTATAATTTTTTAAACATCTTTAACACAAATATGCTGAAATTTGAAACAGAAAAAAATAGAATAGTTTATTGAATTCACAAAAAATGGATGTAAATTTATAAAATCCTTCTTACATAAGACACATAACGAACAAAAGATATACCATTTCCTGTTAATTCTATGTAGATGTTACATCTAAATCACTATTTTCATTTAGTAAAAGACGACACGCGTCTTAAAAGACAATCAATGTTTATCCATTTTTTCTTTATTATTTATCATTTATAAAATACGTCATGAGAAATAATTTTGAAGACTGTGCCGTTCTTTGGATACGTATAAAGAAATATTATCAAATGAGGCACAAGAATATTTCTGAAGACTCATTTCAAAATTATAGTTTCTCTTTTGCAGAAAATGAGAGGTGAATATATTTATTATATGTATGAGAGGTATTGCCAAATGAGAATAACAAATGAACTAATTTTTTTAAGTTAACAAATCCCTATATTAAGCATTTTTTTCTGTATTTTGATTGGAACCTAAAGAACAACATAAATTCTCATGTTAGATTTATAGGGGTAACAATGATAACTTTTTACGTATTATTTTATATGAAAAATATAATAAACTCAAGTGTATAAGTATCTTTTTTCCATGAACACTACAATTCATAAAAATGATGTAGAATTATTTTACTTCATCCATTTCGGTACATTTTATATGAGACACAGCAAATAAATGTGTAAAACATATCAATAATACAGTGAGGTGTTTTTGAAAAAAGAAAGTCTAAAGCATTGTTAAAACATTCTTAATACTTAATTCTACATATACTTCATGCTGCTACGTTGCATAACTTTAGATAAATGCTTAAAATATTTTGAAAAATTCTGTTACTCAATGTAAAACTTTTTATTTCATTTTATTCACCCTTGTAACATGTAAATTATCAGAGTCTAAGGGTAGAGATCCTCACATTCTCGTTCAGCAACATTTTGAGCGATGAAACAAAAATAATATCTTTTAAAAATGTCTTAGTCGCGCAGCATAAAGAGAACTAGAAACTAGAAACATGTCCCCCCTTGTTAGTTTTCATTTCAAAGGAGGGTTTAAAATTTAGAGAACTTACCATATATTTTGTTAATAATTTTAGTCAATGCAAGAAAATTATATTCCTTTTCGTGTTTATTTATTTGCCCTAAATATGTGCTAACATAACATTTTTATATATATACATTGTTAAGCTAACAAATAAGTTTATCGTTACAGTTTCGTTGTAAAATATTTGTATATTTTAAATGCACAAACCATTGGTATACTAATCATTTAGCACACCTTAAAAAAGGGGTGAAGAAAAGAAATGGACAGACAAAGTGACAGAAAATGAATAACATAAACCTTAAAAATTATATAAAAATATTAATTTCGTTTGCACAACATAAAAATATGAAAGTTAATTTTTCTTTACAAAGATAACGATTTATAAACAACGTTTTTCGTGAATATAAATTTTGCAAAATACAAACAAAAAATGTGTTCTATATGATGTTAGGATAAACGTATATTATAACCTATTGCATGGAATAATATATATCCCTAAATTTACAGTTAAAATCAACAGTACTTAAAACAAAAAAATTAAGGAGTTTATTGCAAAAAGAAGGGTATGTACATATAAAGCAAAAAAAATAAGGAAACATTTTCATATGAAAAATGTATCAAGAACAAGAAAAAAAGAGTTTCAATTTAATTAAAATGCTTAATTGATTTTTGGGGAAATTTTTTCCCTCTTTTCTTTTTCATAACAAGAACAGCACAATTATTTCCAGCGTGAACCTATAAAGAAAAAAAAGGGGAAGTGCATTAACACACGTATAAGTTATTTTTACCAAATAGTTTAGAATATAAATGTACATTTGGATAAAACATGAAGTTGTTATAAAGTTCAAAAAAATCAAAGATTGCAAACACTTACTTGTTTTACTAAAAAATCAGAATTTTGTATTGTTAGCATATTATAACGGTGCTTCTGGTTATGCTTATTAGTAAAAAATACAGGGTGGTTATATTTGAAAAAATCAATGTAATCATTATAACCTAATATTTTTAAAGAATTGTCATCATAAATCAGAAATATATTATTTTCATTAATTGATATGTTCTTTATGGTCTTTGTATTATTCAAATTAATGTTAATAAAAGGTGACGATCCATAGGCCATGTGTTGAAAATAATTAGGAAAATAGTATTTCAGGTCCCCTGCCATGTATATATTATTGTGTATGTCAAGCACACATGTTACAATGTTGCTACAGACAATTTTTTTTATTATTATAAACTGGTTTGGAGAAATACCTTGAGCTTTTGAATTTGTTAGATTTGTATTATTTTCCTTATTTGCAAATGTATTAAATCTATTTTTAAAAGTCGTAAGGGGATTGTTCTGTATATGCGTTGTGTCGCTATTATGACTTATATGAACGTTATTTTTGTGTATATAATACAGGTAATAATTGTACTTGTACAAAAATAAAAAATTATTGAAATTGTAGTAAAAAAAGTTATTACTGATTCGGGTAAAGGTGTAGACACTTTGGTTAATGTTATTAACACATAAGTTATTGTTTGTATCCCTGCCACATATATAGATGCACATATAGTGTGCCAGTATTTCTTCTATCATACGATATAAACGTGATGTGTCGGAACACGAATAGGTTGAATTCATCAGTTTGAATTCATCAAATGATTTATCTCCCCAATTTACAATTGCGCTGGTGTAATTTTTAATGTCATATATGTCATTTCTATATATGAAATCGCTTAATTCACTTGCTGAGCTGAAATAGAATTCAGGAAAGTTCGTACTCATTTTTGACTTTATTTTCTCACTTTCCATATGCTTATAATTGTCTGAGCAAGTAATGTTTTTCATTATATATTGGTAATATTTATCATATATGCTTTTTTTAAAGCCCGTTATTACAGTATTTGCCTCCCCACATGACACATTGGATACCATTAAAATATTGTTCAAGAAAGTCGTCATGTACTTTTTTTTTACGAATAAAAATAAAAAGATGATTAGTTTAATATTGATACATACAGTTTCTTCTTTCTCGATATATTCGTAAATCTGTGGATTAATAGTTTCGTTTTCTTTCATTAGTTTTACAAATTTATTTGGATCATCAACATTAAGAATGTCAATTTTTTTTTGTGAATTTACCGAATTGCCGTAATCCTTTTTATCACTGCCCTTCTCATCATTTCCTTCTTTATGTAAATCATCATACTCATTTTTACAATCATTTCCATTCGAAACGTTCAATTTTTTATTACTCTTATGTGTACACTCTTTTCTGTTATGCGCTTCACTATAGTAGTCTTGCACATTCATATACTTTTCATCGTAAAAGTTGTAATCATAAAACTTCATTCCATAAATATAAGGATTTATGTTAACATTATTCGGGATATTGGTGTAGATATTTATATCATTTCTAAAAAGACTCATGTAGATGTTTACTACTTCTGCTTTTATAAAAGTTTCCAGATAATCAAATATCCTAATATAGGTGTTTTTTCTTTTTAAATTGCCATCTTGTGGTTCTACTTTTTTTTGCGAGGTTTTATTAACGTTTCTGTTATTATCATTGCCATTATCATTTTCCACATCATGTAAATTGCAATGTAAATTTATTAAATTTTGTACACTGCACTTGTCCTTAGCCTCGATGGAATCCATACTGGTTATTTTATTATTTGCATTATTTTCATTCTTTTTAACTCTATATGATAAATTAAATATACAGACTTGAATTGGAAGAAGAACTAAATTGTTGTTAATTTTTTTCCTTTTTATATTATTCATGGAGTTTAAATTGGAGTGTAATTTTAATTTTTTGTTGTTGAGTAGTATCTCATTATTTGTTATGTTAAAACTATTTTGAATGGGATTTTCAACGTTAAAACTGAATTTTTTTTTGCAAAACGAAAGTTTACCCTTGTTAAACTTATTTTTTATATTTACTATTTTCTTCTTGTCTATTATATTAAAGTAGTAACTTTCCGTGGTCGATGAAGATACGGAAGAAGATAAAAGTTCTGACAATTTATTTTTGTTATTTTTGTTATTTTCCTTTTTTTCATTTTTTTTTTTTTTATAATTATCATTTGAGTCACTATCTGAAAATTCCGACTTGTTAAAGATATCAAAGTAGATGTTCTCGAAAGGAACGGATGTTTGCCCTAGCTTCTGTTCGCCCCACATAAATATAGATCCATTTGAATATGCACAGACATGATTATTTCCACAGAATATAGAACTAATGGGGACGTATATTTTGTGTACGCTTATAACTACATTTTTAACTTCTAAATTTTCAAAATTAAACATATTTTCTGAAGTGTAAATGTTCTCTGTTTTTAGGGTGAAGAAGTCTTCATCTTTGTATTTATTTCCATTTAGTAAATTGCTTGAATTGCCTAACTTTTCATCACTGTCATTACTTTTTTTTACAGAGCTCTCCTTTAAAGCACTTTGTGAACTTTTATTTTTATTGTAAATATTCTTTTTTATTGTTTCTAGGATTAACGAATTGTACAAAATATTTTCACAGCACCTGCTATTTATCTTTTCTGACTCCTTTATTTTTATTTCTGTCTTATAATTTGTGTGTATCTGTAACTTTTCAAAATCATACAAAAAAAAATGGCAAGGGTTAATTAACGTAGGTGCGTATCTATTGATCTTATCGCCAGTCCCTAAACATCCATATTTATTGTTTCCCCATGAATACACATGACCAAAATTGTTTATGGAAATGACAAAATCTGCACCATTGTAAATATCAATAAATTTTACTCTAGTTTTTATATCATGAATAAAATTATAAATGAATTTGTTGTTATTAAGATTGCTATCTAGCAATAT